TGGACTATGATATGAACAATGTGTACATTTGGAAATGCAAACACTTTTGGGCCGCCATCAACAGCCATATAAAAAGCGATTGAGCTTTTCAGATCCAGAAACGGATTTAGCAGAGCAGACAATGGCAATGACAGTATCTGATTCATCTTCCTCTGAACAACCACATACTTCTAGAGGGGCTAGTACTTCAATTTCTCCAAAAAATGTCTCACAACCACACAAAGAAGAAAAAGAAGGACACAACAGAAGTATTAAAAGACCCCGAGAAGAAGGAGGAGGAATCGACAATGGACATTTGGACATATCCTCTCAGAACACATCCACGCAAGAAATAGCCAACTCATCTAGTGTATTAAATATCTCAAGTAGGGTTCTGACCACAGATGAAACATCTTTGTTGTCCACATAGACACTTTAACCTCTTTGAAACTATAATTGATATAAATAAATTTATATGTAATATGACCAATAAAAGACAATTTTTTTCGTACCGAAGAGGTTAATGTGAACCCAAATTCTGAGGATCTTTCAGCATTTGATTTCAATACACATATATCCTTTCAGGATCCTTGTGCGGTTGTTGCTAGAGGATTTGTTTGATGAGAGTGGTTTTATGGTAAATGATAACAACTTAGGCAATGTTCATAAAGTACCCCTCAAAGTCCGGTCTGACTTTTATCCTGTTGGTTCCCGTTGTGTAGAGATGGATAAATTTCAAAAATGAGTGAGACTAGCTACTAAGATCCCCTCTAAATCCCATACAGATAATGATAATCTCACTGTAGGTGAAAGGTCTGCTCTACAAAGTTTGATGTCAGATCCCTCTATAGTGATCCATAATGCTGATGATGGTGGGATGGTAGTAATAATGGATACTGAGTCCTATAAAAAAAGAAGATTTGAGACAATTGTCAGATGTGACAATGTATAACATACTTAAAAGTGGTCCAAGTAAAACATTTAAGATTTCTTTGGCCAATTTAGTAGCCAAGAGGGTCTATTCGGGAGTTTTCAGCTCCAAGGAAGCACAATCCATTGTTCCTGACTATCCTATTCTACCTGCGTTTTACCATCTTCCGAAACTTCATAAGGGTCTTGATCCACTTTAGGTTGCCCCATAGTGACTGGTATTGATTCTTTGAATGAGAGGCTTAGTCAGTGGTTGTATGGACAATTACAGCCTTTAGTGAGTAGGTTGCCAGGATAACTTAGAGACGCTAACCATTTTTACAGGTCATGCAGGATGTATTTTGGGAAGAGTTACATCTGGCTTACATGTGATGTAGCCAGTTTGTACTCTTCAATCCCACATAATTTAGCCTGTGTAGCGGTTATGTTCTATCTGCAGAACTATACTGACCTGTCTCCTGAGCATTGCAGATTTACTGTGGAGGTTTTGGAATATTTATTACAGCATAATTATTTTGTTTTTGATCATGTTTTATATCTACAAAGGTCTGGGACAGCAATGGGGGCTAAGTTTTCACCCTATATATATGGGTTGGTGGGAGCGGTCCCACATTTTTACCGGTAGTAACCCATTTAGGGGTCAGATCATGACATATTATAGATATGCTGATGATCTGCTGTTGATCTGCAATGGTAAGGAGATGCAGTTAGACATGTTCCTGGAACATTTGAATCAGAACAATTGTAATTTGTTTTTTACTGGTCAATCTCATAAAGATACAATTGCATTCCTGGATATATGTCTGGTTGCAAAAGATCAACAAGTCAGTACTAAATTGTCTAGGAAATCTTTGGTAGGCAATATTCTCCTTTTAAATAGTTCGATCAAAGATAAATGTTCATAAAAATCCTGCGATTGATTCATAAATAAGGTGAACACAGCTTGTATCAAATCCGGAAAATGGCAGAAATGCGCACTCACCGACCGCGCATAGGAAATGCGCATATGTGTATCAAATCCCACAGATGTCGTTATCCTCCAGAAAGAGGTGTCATCAGTCGATCTGCTGGGCTAACAGGGCCTCCTTAGATTTGGATCAGCCAAGGTATATGTTCCTTCCAGGTGCAGGATTCCCTCCTCTGGATAAGATATGTAGCTGTGTCTGCCAACCCCTCAGTGAAGGGTAAAAATAGGGAAAGTACCCATAGTGTAGTATGTAAATGCTTTATTGGTGCATGAAATCTTAAAAATCAGGTCAGTGAACAAAATTCTGGCACATTGCCAGAAGAACACACAGTGAGGAGTTGATAAAAGAAGATAAATACTGACCCTAGTAATGGTTGGCCGCCAGACCTCCACGTGGTCTGGACGGCTAGATCAGGCGTCACAGGCTGTCAGTTCCTCCTGAGGCCTTTCGTGCTAAGGCACATCATCAGAGGGGATCCTGCACCCCGGACAAGGGGAAAGAGCATTTGGGTGGGAAACCTGACTCGCTCTATACCCGGGACCGTTCACCTTTACAGTAGCAGCCACTGTACCCCTTTAGCTCAGGGTTTCCTCCAGATTGCTGGATAGAAGAAGATTATATCTGGGGTGGTACACCAGGAGGAGTTGTAGAGCTCTCCTAGAAGAGGAAACCCTTCTTAGTGGACTTGTACATAGTTGTTAGGAAGTTGTCCTCAGATTACAGTTCCTTGGGCACCCCATTCATCCCTCAACCCCATTCAAGTTTATTGCCCCTAATAAAATTTAAAAAAAAACAAGTTCAAGGTCTGTTTACTGTCTCTGAAGTGCAAGTCTGAAAAATGCTTGTGGCCTGGATGTGCAGGACTATAGGGGGACCCAAATCTTCAGCGACTCCTAAGGAGGTAGTGTTACACAAGTATTTTCAAGTATTCCCATTGAAGTCTATGGTGCCAAAATGCTAATTTCTACCTGAAGAGTATCTCATTAACTCTTTGGTGCAACAGGCATACAGATACAAGAATTTAAAGTGGTGCTCCAGCCAAAAAGTACGAAACTAACTCTTTCACCCTTTAGCAACCCATTGCTAACTAACTTCATGGTCAACACTATAATCACCAACTCCCAGGCGTACAGCATTTAATAACTGGACAGCAGAGCAGACCAGAGGCCTCTTTACCTCTCACTGTGACTTCCAAGGGTAGACCGCTAGGTGCTGCTGGGCTTTATGTGTAGTATCTACTCTAACCTAAGTCCCCTTAGTTACAAGCCCTGGCTCTTTGGATACGCCATTTAATACACCACTTAACAGAATGACTTCAGACCAAGCAGCAAACAGTTAAGTGGAAATTTACTACAGTAATGCAGATACACAGGAACCGTTTTTGTGGCAACTTTTTATATATAATCCTGTACACAGTTGCACTAGAACCCATAGGGTGTCATACCTGAGTAGCAGCAAAGAGTCCACAGAGTCTATAAAAGGCAGAGTCCATGATAGGCAAGTAATCCACAGGAGGTAGAAAAAGTCCATAGGAATCCCAAGGTCCCAGGTTCACCTGGGGAACCCCATGTGCACCCCCAGATGGTGGAACCAGCCGGCCTCTTGACAGTGTTTTTTAGAAGAAATCTCCATGGCACTGGAGAGCCTCTTTTTTATGTGGATATGTAGAATTTTAGTGGGAAAATCCAGTCAGTCAACTCATCAGATCCAACACACATCTACATTGTAACAGCTTCACAGGAAAGACAGCAGACTTGACCCAGATAACTGCAGAACATGAGTCAGTGCAGAAAAAACATTAACCCTTCTGTAGGCACCTGCCTACATGCATTTTTCTGACTGGCATTGCAGCGCAATGTGCTGCAGTGCAGAGACTTAACTTTGTTCAAAGTGTAACTTTGTACACTCTTATTAAAGTTAAAAAAATTAAATGTTGGTGTCCCAACAAAAGGGACAGCAACAGGCATGCTAAAACGGTGCATTTTAGCATGCAGCTAGTGAAATTGTTACAATACTCTTCCTCAAATGCTCTCTCTCTTGATTAGAGCAATGCTTAACAATCATCAGAGACAGCAGGGCTCCTTACAGCAGAGTAATTGTATCCCTTAAAGACAAACTCCAGCTTTGCTATCACAGTTAGAACTATTTCCTTAACTTAAAAAATCAGACTGCTGTCAACATTGTATAAGCTGTATGTAGCATCAGCTACATAGATCAAACGAGGTATGACAATTTAATTCCTGGAATTGACTGTAAAAAGTTTGCTTATCTACTGTATACAGTAGTAGCTGCTGTGACTAGAGATGAGCGAAGTATTCAAAAATTCGATTCGACTGATTCAGGGAATTCGTGGAAAAATTTTGATTCGAGTCGAATATATTCGCTGCGAATTTAACTTATAAAAGGGTGTTTCTAGGCTTCAGAGAGCCTTTATATTAGTGCAGAACACTGTACCTTTAATTTAAATGCCCTTGGAGTCTGCTGGGGAAGAGAAATAATACTGACAGTCAGTATGACATGCAGATGAGTGCCGTCGATCTTAGAATCACCGCACACTTCACTCATTTGGGCAGTCACGGGGCCAAAACCAGAGTGTGAAGCCACAGTGTGGCGGTGGAGGCAGCAGCAATGGGAGGCCATACAGCACCCTATGACAAAAATGGAAACCACCAGCAGTGTGAGGAGACCTGAAAGAGGCACATGGCAGAGTGTGGCGATGGAGACAGCAGCAATGGGAGGCCGTACAGGGACCCATGACACACTCTGGACCTGGCAGCAGCATGAGGAGGCGGTACAGGGGCCCATGACAGATTACGGGCCTGGCAGCAGCATGAGGAGTCGGTACGGGGGCCCATGGCAGATTACGGGCCTGGCAGCAGCTATGGGAGGCCCGTAATCTGCCAGCACCCTATGACAAAAAATGGAACACACCAGCAGTGTGAGGAGACCTGAAAGTGGCACATGGCAGAGTGTGGCGATGGAGACAGCAGCAATGGGAGGCCGTACAGGGACCCATGACAGACTCTGGACTTGGCAGCAGCATTAGGAGGCGGTATAGGGGCCCATGGCAGATTAGGGGCCTGGCAGCAGCTATGGGAGGCCCGTAATCTGCCAGCACCCTATGTCAAAAAATTGAACACACCAGCAGTGTGTGAGGAGACCTGAAAGTGGCACATGGCAGAGTGTGGCGATGGAGACAGCAGCAATGGGAGGCCGTACAGGGACCCATGAGAGACTCTGGACTTGGCAGCAGCATGAGGAGGCGGTATAGGGGCCCATGGCAGATTAGGGGCCTGGCAGCAGCTATGGGAGGCCCGTAATCTGCCAGCACCCTATGTCAAAAAATTGAACACACCAGCAGTGTGAGGAGACCTGAAAGTGGCACATGGCATGAGACACTGTGGCCCTGGCAGCAGCATGAGGAGGCGGTACAGGGGCCCATGGCAGATTAGGGGCCTGGCAGCAGCTATGGGAGGCCCGTAATCTGCCAGCACCCTATGTCAAAAAATTGAACACACCAGCAGTGTGTGAGGAGACCTGAAAGTGGCACATGGCAGAGTGTGGCGATGGAGACAGCAGCAATGGGAGGCCGTACAGGGACCCATGAGAGACTCTGGACTTGGCAGCAGCATGAGGAGGTGGTATAGGGGCCCATGGCAGATTACGGGCCTGGCAGCAGCTATGGGAGGCCCGTAATCTGCCAGCACCCTATGTCAAAAAATTGAACACACCAGCAGTGTGAGGAGACCTGAAAGTGGCACATGGCATGAGACACTGTGGACTTGGGCAGCAGCATGAGGAGGCGGTACAGGGGCCCATGGCAGATTATGGTCCTGGCAGCAGCTATGGGAGGCCCGTAATCTGCCAGCACCCTATGTCAAAAAATTGAACACACCAGCAGTGTGTGAGGAGACCTGAAAGTGGCACATGGCAGAGTGTGGCGATGGAGACAGCAGCAATGGGAGGCCGTACAGGGACCCATGAGAGACTCTGGACTTGGCAGCAGCATGAGGAGGCGGTATAGGGGCCCATGGCAGATTAAGGGCCTGGCAGCAGCTATGGGAGGCCCGTAATCTGCCAGCACCCTATGTCAAAAAATTGAACACACCGCAGCAGTGTGTGAGGAGACCTGAAAGTGGCACATGGCAGAGTGTGGCGATGGAGACAGCAGCAATGGGAGGCCGTACAGGGACCCATGAGAGACTCTGGACTTGGCAGCAGCATGAGGAGGCGGTATAGGGGCCCATGGCAGATTAGGGGCCTGGCAGCAGCTATGGGAGGCCCGTAATCTGCGATGGAGACAGCAGCAATGGGAGGCCGTACAGGGACCCATGAGAGACTCTGGACTTCACAGCAGCATGAGGAGGCGGTATAGGGGCCCATGGCAGATTAGGGGCCTGGCAGCAGCTATGGGAGGCCCGTAATCTGCCAGCACCCTATGACAAAAAATGGAACACACCAGCAGTGTGAGGAGACCTGAAAGTGGCACATGTTTGGGGCATGATTCATGGCGGATTTAGTCAGTTGTGTCAGGAACTGGTGGTTTGAAATCCAGACTAATCCACGCCTGATTCATTTTCACAAACGTGAGTCTCTCCACACTTTGGGTGGACAGTCGTGTCCTCCGCGGAGTTACAATACCTCCTGCCGCACTAAACACGCGCTCCGATGCCACGCTACTGGCCGGGCATGACAGCCTTTCAAGGGCAAATTCAGCTAGTTGGGGCCAAAGGTCAAGTTTTGTTGCCCAGTAGTCAAGGGGATTGTCTACCTCGGTTGGCAGGGTGCTGTCCAAGTAGGCCCAAGCCTGTTGTTTGAGCTCCTGCTCCAGGTCCACCTGATGCTGCTGCTGCTGCGGCTGGTTAGTAGTTTCCTCACTGCGCTGGTGAAGAAAGCTACTCATCATCGACTGCAGACTGAGGCAGCCGCTGCTGGTGGAGCTACCACTGCTCCTACCACCCCACCCCTCCCCTGCTGCCATGGCAGCGGAACGCGAGCGCACAGGGCCCACAGTGTCTGAGGATGGACGTTGGCGCACAAAGGCAGAGACCAACTGACTACATAGGTGGTTTCTATAGTACGTTATTTTGGCCTCCCTCTCAGCAGGTGTGAAAAAGGCCACCATTTTTGAACGGTAGCGAGGGTCCAACAAGGTGGACAGCCAAAAGTCATCCCTCTGTCTGATGGTAATTATTCGGCTGTCGCTACGCAAGCAACCGAGCATGCTATGGGCCATTTGTGCCAAGGAATGCGAGGGACTCCCTGCCTCCATCTCCACAGCATACTGCCACGGTGCGTCTGGGTCCTCTGTCTCCTCCTCCTCCTCCTCTACCAGATGCTCCTGCTCCTCCACTCCTGTCCGCTGAGTGGAAAAACCACCCATTTCACTCAATAATTCCTGAGCACAAATGTCCTCCTCTACCTCCTCCTCTTCTTCTTCCTGTCCTGCCCCCACAGGGGTCATGTGGCTTTGAGATCTGTGCGCCACGTCTACCGCACCCTGACCAGCCATTGTTAACAGCATTTGTTCCAGGACGTGCAACAAAGGTGACGTCGTTCATCCCATAGTCCTGCCGACTCACGAATAGCGTGGCCTCCTCAAAGGGCCTGAGCAAGCGGGAGGTGTCACGCATGAGCTGCCAATGGCTGACATCGAAGTTACACAGGGGAGTACCTTTATCTGCTTGTAACATCAGGAAATCGGTGATGGCCTTTCGCTGTTCGTAAAGGCGGTCTAACATGTGTAGGGTTGAATTCCACCTTGTTGCAACGTCGCAGATCAGGCGATGCTGTGGAATTCCGTTCTGCCGCTGCAGCTCAAGGAGGGTGTGCTTTTGCGGTGTAGGAATGGCTGAAATGCATGCAAAGTTTACGTGACATTTTAAGGATGTCTTGCAGTGGGATGGTGGATTTTAGGAACCGCTTGACAACCAGATTGAACACGTGAGCCATGCATGGCGCATGGCACAACCTTCCTTGACGCAAAGCAGACACCATGTTCTTTCCGTTGTCGGTCAACATGGTTCCGATTTTCAGTTTGCGCGGAGACAGCCATCTGTCGATTTCTCTGTTCATTACACTGAGAAGTTCCTCCCCTGTGTGACTACGTTCGCCAAGGCATACCAGGTGCAGCACAGCGTGACACCGTTGCGCCCTGCACATGTGATATGCCGGTCGGGTAATGGGACTTGGCACGGGGGTGGCGGCTGAGGACACGAAGGAAGAAGAGGTGGTAGAGGCGGACATCTTTTGTGGACCAAGGACGTGCAAACGTGGAGGCAAAAGCGGCGTGACCTGTCCAAGTTGCTGGTGCGGCTGTGACGGCACCACGTTCACCCAGTGGGCCGTAAATGACATGTACTGTCCCTGACCGTAGTTACAGCTCCACACGTCGGCGCTGCCGTGCACTTTGGCAGAGACCGACATGCTCAAAGACTGGCCCACCATCTCTTCTACATGTGAATGCAGGGCTGGCACTGCCTTTTTGGCGAAGAAGTGACGGCTTGGCACTCTCCACCGCGGCGCGGCACAAGCCATCATTTCTCGGAAAGGTGCTGAGTCCACCACTTGGAAAGGGAGGGACTGCAGCACCAGCAACTTGGACAGGAGGACGTTCAGCTTTTGCACCGTCGGGTGCGTGCTCGCAAACTGTTGTCTCTTGGAAACGGATTCCAAGAAAGACTGCTGACGGAATCCGTGAAGAGGAGTAGCAGGAGAAGGAGCATCTGAACGAGCGGAAGATGCCAACGAGCGACAACTCCCCTCAGCAGAGGTGTTGGAGCCTTGACTGGCTGATAGAGGGCGATTGACGTCGGGTGACGGAGCAAGTAACGGAGCGGGTGATGGAGCGGGGGCTGGGGCAGGCAGAACCGCCGTATCTTTATCACGGTTTTCCCAGGCCACCAAATGGCGACGCTGCATATGCTGCCGCAACGCTGTAGTCCCAACATGGGCCCCCTGGCCACGCTTGACTTTCTGGCCACATAGTCGACATACGGCTACGTTTACTTCCTCGGGCGGCTTGAAAAAAAATTGCCACACCGCCGAGTAGGAAACTTTGCCCCCGATACTCCTCACTGGCTGACTGCTGCTTCCTCCGTGCACACCGGCACCACTACTGGCCGTGGTGGTAGGCTGCAGTGGAGCTGGTGCTCTACTCCGTGGCCGTTTGCCTCCACTGACACTGCTGCGACCCTGCTGCCTCCTGGGCAACCCACCGACTGTTTTGCTCGCTGCCAAGCTGCCACCCTCTTCTCCTGATGATGCAGAAGCAATAGCCTGATGACGACGAGGCTGCCAAGTGCGATCAGCCTCATCATCATCAATTAGGGTCTCCGCCTCACTACTAGCCCCCTCGGCTGCGTGTGGGTCAGGAGACAGACCTGTCTCTAGACCGGCTACCGAGCCACTCTCCTCGCCACTACTTCTTCGCCTGGCTGCTGAAGAGGCGGATGTCTCCCCCCGTTCCTGACCGCCCTCTGTTAGCTCTTCCTCACTGTACAGTGGGGCTGAGCCCACAGCATGCGATACTTCGCTTGGTGAGGGAACACCAAAGGACAGGGGCAGGTAGAGGACACGTGATTTCAGTGGGCTTGCTCCCGGGCCATGCCAACTAACGGTTGTGTCTGACGTACCCACCGACCGTTGGCTGTAGGTGTCAGAGGTGACCTGGGAGAGGAGGAGACGACCGAGCCAACCAATCGATGACGGCAGGGTTGTCGATGGAGACACGACCGCTGGATGACACCGGGAGAACTGGCCTCTGGCTGCGAATAGTGCTGCCTCGACCCCTTCCTCTGCTGCCACGTCTGCTCGCTCCTAAAACATTGCCTCCTCTGCCACTCCTCTGCATGTTGTCTGACATACTCTTTAATTAAACGATTCTGTGTCCCTGAGTAACAATTCTGTGTCTGTCCCTGAGTAACAATTCTGTGTCCCTGAGTAACGTTTCTGTGGCCCTAAGTAACAGTTCTGTGGCTCTAAGTAACAATTCTGTGGCCCTCAGTAACAATTCTGTGTCCCTCAGTAACAATTCTGTGTCTGTCCTGAGTAACAATTCTGTGTCTGTCCCCTGAGTAACAATTCTGTGTCCCTGAGTAACAATTCTGTGTCCCTGAGTAACGTTTCTCTGGTCCCATAAGTAACAGTTCTGTGGCCCTCAGTAACAATTCTGTGTCTGTCCCTGAGTAACAATTCTGTGTCTGTCCCTGAGTAACAATTCTGTGTCCCTCAGTAACAATTCTGTGTCCCTCAGTAACAATTCTGTGTCCCTCAGTAACAATTCTGTGTCCCTGAGTAACAATTCTGTGTCCCTGAGTAACAATTCTGTGTCCCTGAGTAACAATTCTGTGTCCCTCAGTAACAATTCTGTGTCCCTCAGTAACAATTCTGTGTCCCTCAGTAACAATTCTGTGTCTGTCCCTGAGTAACAATTCTGTGTCCCTAAGTAACAATTCTGTGGCCCTCAGTAACAATTCTGTGTAACAATTCCTGCTGTGTCCCTCAGTAACAAATTCTGTGTCCCTGAGTAACAATTCTGTGTCCCTCAGTAACAATTCTGTAACAATTCTGTCCCTGAGTAACAATTCTGTGTCCCTAAGTAACGTTTCTGTGTCCCTAAGTAACAATTCTGTG